AAGGCATTGCCGATCTCAATATTAGAGAAGTTGTTATACAAGCTTGGAATTCGGCGTCTCCGAGAAATAAAGTGATATTTTCATCAGGGGGAGGCAAATACGTGTTGTACTCTTTTTCCCTTAGCTAAGGTTTTATCCCACTGGGTTTTCCTGGCAAGGTTTTTAATGAGGCAACAAGTAATGCGTATTACAAGATATGTGTACTCTTTTTCCTTCACTAAGATTTTTTCCTCCATGGTTTTTTCTTAGTAAGGTTTTAACGAGGCACATTATCTATGGACATCCAAGGGGGAGTGTTATGAAATACATATTTATATGGATGTCTACTAATCAAATATAACTCCCACTACTCTTCTCCATTATGTAGATAACCCCCACTACTTCTCACCATTATTGTTGTAACTCCCTCACCTTCATAACCTACCCATGATCTTCCTCCATGATCTCAAATGTTTAATGGCATACTTATGGAATTCTTTTGGTATACCTCTATGTTATACTATAAATAGAGGATGAGAACTCATTTTGTAACACACTTGAATACATGGAAAAAATAGATTCTCTTCTCTCTTTCTCTCTACATTGTTGTCTATCTTTTGTTTTATATTATTTATTACTTTGAGCTAAATTTTGTAATATTCAAAGACTTGTTGGTTATTTATTGATTTTCTTATTGTTTTGTTTATTTATTTCTTGTTCTATGGCTATCCAAGGCTGAGACAGAAGCATTCAATTGACTGGATAAGAACAGAGAAACCAGAGAAGAGTGCATGCACTAGAAATCCAAAATTTGCGTCAAATCATACACTTGTCTTTCTACATTCTTACTTAATTAGAGTATAATTTTGGTAGTAATTACGTCATCACGAATAGCGAGGTGAGATGATAAAACGTTTGTTACGATTTCAAGAATTTGAATTGACAAGTAGAGGAACGTCGTTTCGCGTACCCCATGCGTTCATATGTACAGATTTAATTCGATCTTTTCCAATTCCAATGTAACTTAATGAAGATACTGTGGATGTTGTATACTCCTTCCGGTACAAAATAAGTGATTTTTTGACTGTTTTTACAGAGATTAAGACATTAATTAGCAATGAAATTGACCATACTAACCTTTACTATCTCACATAAACACTCCTAACACATACTCCAACGCTATTTACTTCAAGGGCAATGTAGGTAAAACATAATTAATTCATTCTTGAAATCTGTAAAAATCACTTATTTTGGACCACAAAAAAGATGTCAAAAAATCACTTATTGTGGACCGGAGGGAGTATATAAATTCTCTATAATAAGTAAATGTATTATTCTCATTACTTTAATTTCTGTTTCAATCTCATCTATCTAATGGCCAACTCCAGAGTTAGATCCCGAGAGTTAAAGGAATGTTATTTTCTAGAACCTGACTCTAGAAATTTACATGGGCATTGTGTGTTTGAGATTGCACTGCGTGAAGCTAACAGAGCAAGTGACAATAGGGACACTTGTGCCTATGTGGTCAGTTTACTGACTGTGGTCAACCCTGATTTAATGGACGTGCTGATGAATAGATTAACTGAATTAGGCATTAGAGTAATTCATACTGTGAAACAGCCGTCTCAAGCAGAAGAGTATATGATTGACTATCATGTTAAACGTAATTTTTACCATGGGCAGATCTTGGTTCTCTTTGGAATCACTATACTGTTACTCTTCAAAAATGTTAGCCAAGGTAACTATTCATGACCAAAAGGATTAACGCAATGTGTGCTATATTGGGAGGTACCGAGTTGGATATGCGTTACTCTTTCACAAAGGCAGAGGCTATTCGATCAATGTTAGGTGCTTCTATGCCTCTTAAAGAGGCAGTCATTAACTTTGTGATTTCAGCAACAAGGGCTTCTGGTCGGTTGGGTTCTCTAGGCGGATATTTGTTTGGATTCTTAGCTTGGTCCGATATGTATGCTTACAAAGAAAGTCATGTATGAGACATTAATTTTGACAGCATCTCCTGTATTAAATGTTGGACAAGAGGCACTCAATCTTAGTGATACTTACAGGGCTGTTAATGCGTCAGAATATCCCACAGTATTTCCGCTACACTGGAGGAAGAACTGCACAGACAAAGCTAGAGAAGAGTAGATTTCCCATTCTCTTTGCTGTGGCTCAAAATTTGACGCCCTATAGACAAAATTCAAACTTCGTTAGTACTAATTTGTCTGAGCAGGACAATCAGCTTGTGAGGGAATTAATTGAGATGCACAATGTCCAGGCCTGGCCGTATTACGCCTCTCACAGCAATGTTCAACGATCTCACTGCTGACCTTGAAGTTGACTGGTAGTAGTGTTTGTTTTGGTGACGCTTATTATTCGGCCTGCCAAGTTATAATTCTTATTGGTTTATTGCATTGTGCTTTTATAGATAATTATAAGTGTTTGGTTATCTCATCTGATTTTAATCATGTTACTTGAATTTAAGAAATATTAAAGAGATTTGACATTAGTATTTGTCATTTTTATGATAATTTTTCTTTTTTCGTCATTTATAACATGGTAGTATAACTTTTTAATTATATAAAATTCATAATTTCTTACATGACACAATCGGAAAACTAAACAGATAATAATCGCACCGAAAGAGAACTGAATGTAACCAATTTTATTTTGATTCGGATTAAATGTCAACCATAGTTTCTGCATATTCAGAAAGAAGATCCACTCCTTGGACTTGTTCAGTGGTCTGTGTTATTAATGAATGAAGAGCAAACTGTTACTCCCTCTGGTCGATATTAGTTGTTCTGATTACTAAATATATTTAGTCCAATTTAGTAGAAAATCAAGATATAATTATTTAAGTACCCTTTTCCATTTTGCCCTTAGTATTGAATGTTCTGAAAGTAAAAATGTTTACTACGCAGCATAAAAAACTTAGAAATGAAGAGTATTAAATAAAGGTATAGTAGTCAAAAAACCCGCTGACGTATAAAAGAAAACAAATAACTAAAATGGTCCGGAGGAAATAATAAGATAATAAGCGCAAGAATAGAGATGGAAATGCACCTGGAATTTTTTCAAACTTGATGCATCCTTTAGAATAATCGCCACATTTCAGTGGTGGTGCAATGAATAGTGATGCTTAGTAACTGAAGCAACAATTAATTAATAAGATATGAAATAAACTAGTAAAAGAGAACTTATCCAAAGCAGTGGCCTTAAGCAACATAGCTCTCTTTGGCAAAGTTATTCATTTCTTCAGTAGACTAATTGTTAGTTTACATAGCACCTATCTGGCATTGACTCTTCCATGTTACATTTGAAAATTCAACTGCTTTTTGACTGCACTAAGAAACCAGTGAAACCAGCACATGCACCAACACAATCCAACTAAACTGCACATAACTAATTTCCATTTGTTTAAGGAACAAAATCAAAAGTATATTCTAAAACTTTGGAACCAAAAAGGTGTTTCAAAGCTAATATAATGGGTGGTTGAGCTTTGATTGCCCTTTTGCTATTAATGATGCAATATGCATATGATGTGTCTATGTGCTACGAACTTTTCCTCTTCACTTTGTGAAATTGTAATCAAATACCAGATTTATTTGGCCCACAATTCCAAACCCAGCAAGCTCTTCATCAACCACACAAAAAGCCACCATAACTAACGGAGCAAATCACAAATTTCAACCACGTCAGAAATTTCTCCAATAAAATCGAATTTATTAAATGTTAATCTAGTATTTTCATATTCCTATCTGATATTGCTCGTGTTTTAGTTGCTCTATTATTTTGCTGTTGTTATTGCTTCCCTGACTTTTAATTACGCTACTGCATTTTTTTCTCTATATTGTTGTGATTTTGCATGCTTGCTATCGGAAACGACATCTCTACCTGCAAAGTAGGTAGGGGTAAGGCTGTGCACTCACTATACTCCTGAAACCCCACTTATATAATTACACCAAATTTGTTGATGTTGTTGTTGTTAATCGAAATTAATAAATATTTTATTAATCCGATGAGATTCAAACCAAACTTGAAAATCTTGTTGTCGGTATACTATCTGAAATTTTGCTATGGTTGGCATGTCATAATTCAAGGTAACTTTCTTTGTTAGGTAGAGTGGGTAATAAGTCGTAAACTTGTAATTAATGCTTGAAAACCACTGATTAGTGTCGAGTCATTTCCACGTAAACCTACCGCGCAGGTGTGTCACTGTAGGGACATATTGAGAACTTTTGATCTCAGAAGTAACTTACTTTGCAATAAATAAATACCAAATTAACTTTTGATGGAAAGGCCTTTTTGAAGTTACTAATTACAGCATTTGCTTGGCTTATCTATTTGGTTTGGATTTGATGGAACGGATTCTAAAATATCAGTAGTTAGCAGTACATCAATTTCCTTGTCTGGTGCTGTTTGGTAAGGTAGCTAGGTGTAGTGAATGATCACGTAATGAATTCTGTTATTAATCCATTGATAAACAAACTAAAAAAATGTCACACGAAATACAAACGAAAATAGAAATTTAAGTCGGCTGAATTTCATCTATTTTCTTTTCTGTACCTGTTTCTGTTTCCCTTTTTTCTTGGTCTCTTTCTGTTTTTTTTGCTTTTGGGTTATGTTTTCCTTTTAGCCCTGTGTAGGGTTGGCAAACGGACGGGTTGGGTTGGATATGAGATAGATCGAAAATATGTAATAAAAAACGGTTCAATCCGACCCATATTTAATACGGATAATAAAGGGGTTAATCGACGGATAATATTAGTAACCATATTATCCATGGCTTCATGAATAAGATCACTTTTGGGAGAATTCCTCTCCCAAACTTGAGGAACGCCCAATTTGAAATTTTATAAATATAAAAGTTAAACCCATTGGTTATCCATTTCTAAATGGATAAATATGGTTATTATCCATATTTGACCCGTTTTTAAAATGTTCATTATCCAACCCATTTTTTATTGGATAATATGAGTGATTATCTGTTTTCTTTTAACCATTTTGCCACCACTAGCCCTGGGTAAGATAGTACAATTCAATTTACATTTACTATTTAATTCAAATAAGTATGCATGATATTATGTGTTTTGCGTACATTTTATTGTTTTATCATAATTAATTAGTATATACTTTTATTTATTTTATAACTTAATCATATTATATTAATATGATTTAATGTAAAAATTGAACTATATGTACTTTTTTCAGGAGCTAGAATATAACTTATGGGTTCAGACGAACTCAAAAATTTTAATTTAAACTATATATTTATTTTAAAAATTTATTAAATATTAATTTACAACTCGATAACCTAAATATAATTAGAATCGAATCATAAATTTAAAATCTTGACTCGGTTTGAAAGGGGAGAATCAGAGGGGGGAGGTTGGTTTGAGATGTAGAAATGAAACAACCCATGTGATACCAACTTTGAAGCACAAAAAACTTTACACGCAAATCATTAGCGAATTTCGCATCTCAATAGTTTGATCCCAACTCCCATTTCTGTTCAAGTTACGAAGTTGTATCGCAGCAATTAAATATTACTCCCTCTAGTCCAAAATACTTTAAGTAATTTTTTGGATGTTTTTACACAAATTAAGAAATCCATCTTTTAATATTAATTAGCAATGAAATTGATCATATTAACCTTTAATATCTCACATAAACACTCCTAACACATATTTCAACACTATTTATACCAAGGACAATGTAGGAAAAAAATAATTAATTCATTCTTGAAATCTGAAAAAATCACTTATTTTGGACCACAAAAAAGACAAAAAAATCATTTATTTTGGACCGGAGGGAGTAGCGATATATACTTTTTCTCTATCACATAAAGCTGATAAATTTATGTGAAAAAAAGTACCTCGAAATTGATGAAATAAAAAAGAAATTCAGATAATGCATGGTCCTCCCCAGTCCTTTCCTTGTCAAGCAATACAATATGAGTATTAGTACTATTATTATTTACTGATCCCTTAACAATCTTCATACGAGGCACCACGCGTTTAATTATCATAACTTTAAGATCATCAGTAGTTCAGCATCTAACATGGTCTCGAATTTTCTACAATTAAAAGAAAGAGTAAGAAAATGGCGAATTAAAGGTCTTATTAATGCCTAGATGAAGTAAAATAATCATGGTTTAGCTAATTAGTATACTCAGGGTGAATGTATTAAGTCAAATTTATGTGATTAGGTATGTGATTAATTAGAGTGGGACACACTCAAACAGGAGAGAAGGGTTCTTGAAACCTAGGCAACATAATAGAATGTGAATTAAATTAGTATTTTCACAATATTCTCTTTTGTTTTCTCTCTCCTATTAATTCCCTATATTCTTTTTTATTGAATGAAAATCTCCTTTATGTCTATAAATTTGGTTAGCCCCTACTCTTTGGAAACCCCCTTCTCCCTCTTGTGTTCTTGTTCTTCCCTAACAAAGCTTAGCTAATATACAAAAAGAAAGGAATTAATTTTATTGTAGTTAGTTGCCCTGCATGTGCTCTGCCATCGCACAGAGTTTGCTTTTGTAGGAAAATAATCGCACCGCCCAACCTCTCTTTACAATCTTATTTTGTCATATAACTGCACTTTGATTCTCTTAACAGTCCCTTTTCTCCTACTTTGAACCATATAAAACCTGAGCGTAGTTTTTCAATTATAGTCATAGACAGACAGATACAATGGGTGAAGCAATTCAACAGGTTAGTTCGTATTACTCTGTTTTTTTCCCCTCTCTTTTTCTTGAATGAATATTATTTGTAGGATTATTGAATTGATGAGATTGTGGATGTAATATCGCAGGAGCCAACAAAGGAAGAAGTGAAAGTAGAGGAAAAGAAGGAAGAACAAACAGAGGAGAAGAAAGAAGAGAAAGTAGAAGAAGAGAAAAAAGAAGAGCCAAAACCACCTTCTCCTTTCGTTTTGTACGTCGACTTGCATTGTGTTGGATGTGCCAAGAAAATTGAGAGGTCCATTTCAAAGATTAGAGGTTTGTATACATTCTAGTATACTAGTAATTTTTTCTGTCTTTTAATAGTTGTGTGCATGTCCCGTAATAACCGACGCGAATGAGTTTAGTTGAACTTACAGAATCCATCCGTCTTGCTTATGTTTTCTAACATCGAATTTGCATGCAAATGAGGCAGGTGTTGAAGGAGTAGTGATAGACATGGCGCAAAACCAAGTAACAATAAAAGGAGTAATAGAACCACAAGCAGTATGTGACAGGATTACCAAGAAAACCAAGAGAGTTGCAAAAGTATTGTCACCCCTACCGGAAGCTGAGGGCGAACCAATTCCTGAAGTTGTTGCTTCACAGGTAATTTTATGGCTATATATATGTTACTTATTTCTTTTTGAAGTGATTGGTAAGTATGCATAAAAGATTATAATGTAAATTGGATCGCTATTTATTTCAGGTAAGTGGATTGACTACGGTGGAGCTTAACGTCAACATGCATTGCGAGGCCTGCGCCGAGCAACTTAAAAAGAAGATTCTCAGAATGAGAGGTAACTTAACTGATAACCTTATTTTGTTTCAGAATTTTCTGAATTTAATATATATACATTGACTAGTGTAAAAGAACTCCTACACTCAACTTTTAGAAGATTATTACAAATAAGAATCAAGTAAATTTAATAACTTAAAAAATAAGATATTTACCTGCTAACACGTAAAAGAAGGAATTGTGAGTTTTTACATTGTAAGTGCAATAGTAGGATTTCCAATTTCATTCACCTCTTGCCCATTTTGTTTAATGTTGGTGGTGGGACAATGATAGGTGCACGAATGTTTTCCACATTTATAAGGTTTAAAAATATATAGTAGTAATTTTTTAAAATAACTTTCACCTAATTAATTAATAACCCGAAACCATGAAAAGAAACCTGAGAATGATGGATAATTAATCTATTAAAGACTGTCAAATCTCTCTGAATTTTCACTGGGGTAAAATCGAAACCTTTACCTTTGATTGGAGACCAACCATGAATCATGATGAGGATTAGCAAGAACGGCAGCTTTTGAAAGTGGAAAAAAGATACTATTGTATGTTGGAATAGTTATGCTTGACCTTATAAGAATTTTGCGATTCAGATTCCATCTCTACGCCTTTACGTCCTTTACGAGTATATTATTTTTTTCATGAAACTTTCTTAGTATCAATGCTTTCCCATATTTAAAGTTGACGGAACATTAGAAAGCAAACTATTTTGTCTTGACTTGTCACACATCAAGTATTACTCCACTTTTAGTACATAAAATACAAACTCCACAGTAAAACACTTGTTAATTTTATAACATTAACGTGCACCAAGTAATGTATACCATTTGTCTTTCTGAAATTTAGGAGTGAGAACTGCAGAAACAGAAGCCAGCACAGGAAAAGTTACGGTGACAGGAACCATGGACGCCAACAAGCTCGTTGAATACGTCTATAGACGCACCAAAAAGCAAGCCAAAATTGTACCTCAACCTGAACCCGAGAAGCCCCCTGAAGAACCAAAGCCTGAAGAGTCTAAACCAGAAGAGGCAAAGCCAGCTGAAGAAGCTAAGCCCGACGACGGAGCTGCCGAAAAGAAAGACGGCGACGGTGAAAAACCACCGGAGGAGGAAAAGAAAGAGGGCGGTGAAGAACAAGCCGGAGAAGACAAAAAAGAAGGAGAAGAGATTATTCCAATTGGAGATCATGATCAAATGAACATTAATAAGATGATGTATTATTATCAGCCACTTTACGTCATTGAAAGAATCCCACCTCCGCAGCTCTTCTCCGATGAAAACCCTAATGCATGTTGCATTACATAATATAACCAATCAATAAGAGTTTATCGATCCCCACTGAGTTTTATATATTGTGGGACAATTAAACACGTAGGAGTATTTAATATTTGTTGTATCGATGATTATGTGAAGAGGATATATATTATTATCCCTAGATCATGAATAATGATAAATACAAATTTATCGTGTAATATCTAATTAATCTTGAACATAGTGCTTCAAGAGGAAATGTCACCTTATTGTTTTTTTTTTTTTTTTTGTTATTGCTGTGTATATATATCACCATCTTAAATATCACAATATGACATTTTCTTCGTATGGATTTTCATATCTATTGCGCAATGTTCTAAATTTTATGCTAACGTTGAGTCGACCTAGAGATTATTTAAATTCTATGATATTCTCGACTGCGTTATGAAACTATATGTGCCACATGTAACATGAAAATAAAGTAGGGTAGGGTAACTTCCAACGAATTGATAATCCAAAGAACAAGCACAGTTAGGTATATGGTACGAAATTTTGCAACTTATATATCGATTGAGCATATTTGTTTTCTTTTGTGCGGGTGATTAAGCAAACGTAACATATGCTAGAAATCGGTGATGCGGTGGCCACATCTTCAATATTTCGTAGGTTGAAATATGATAGCAGAAAAGTCCTGACTAATTAACACTTCAAACGGGATAGGTGGACTAGGTTCCACTACTAGAAAACAGGCAAAACCCGTCCAAACAATACCGATCGAAACCGAAAATAAGTAAGTTGGTCGTAAAAGTCAAAGAAAATATTTCTGACAACGGAAATAGTGATCCCATAGCAAATATATACTTGTATATTATCTACAAAAATAATTTTTAATTAAAATTTTTCAAATATACCGACCCATTTCGGTCGGTGTATTTAAAATTATGCTTTCCTGCCCAAGGCAATTGATTTTTAAAATAACAAAAATTATATTTAATTAATACCGATCGATTTCGGACGATAAATGCAGTTTGACAGTCAGTCAACGCATTGCATAAAGCGACCGTTTTCGGTCGGAAACTTTCGACCGATTTCGAACGCAACACGTTAGCGACCATCATTTTTCCGACTAATTAAAAGCGGTCGGAAATCGGTCGCTTTTTTACAATTTCCGACAGATTTTGGTCAGTTTTCCTGGATGAATTTAGCCAGTTTTTTAATAGCGTTCGGCAGAGTTACATGTATCATGATATAGATTGTAGTTCGTAAATTAACTTACATGGTTAACTTGGTTCGTACCTTAATCCACACAAAAATTTTAATGGTTAGTAATGAAACCATTCGCGCCTCAGGATTTAAGAATCCTCGCTAATAATTAAGTAACATCTCATGTTGACAAAGAGAGTAAAAGATGATGTTTCGTATATCAGTTTAGTAGCGTTACAATTAAATCAATTAGTTAAGTACGTAGGTGATAATGACCAAATTAAATAGCCAATCTTAATGTGAAAAATTCACATATCACTAAGCTGTCATGTTAATGTAGTTTAATATTTATAGCTCTGGATAAAGGAAGGGAAAAAAGGTAGACACATTCTTTTTTTCTTTTTTTCTTTTTCAAACTAATGCAAAAGGTAGACACATTCGAAAAACAGAAGTTAAATTTCAGTATTTAACTAATGATTTTAAGTTTTGATACCATATTTCTCTTTTAATTTTCAAACTATCACATGAACATATCTCAACTGATGTAACCTCGGATCCAATGAATACCGGAATGAAATGAGAACAACTTTTGTGGAAGTGACATGATAACAAAGAATACAGTAGTGTTCCTAGTAATATAAATTGAGACATGATGGCGTGTTAGAAAGGTGTTGATAGCAGATTCTCTTTTTTCCCTGAGCAGAGACAGGTGCATGGGTTCCACGTGGTAGTGACCCACCTTTGTGATTTATGCGATCTGAGTCATCTTTTATGACTTGTATCTTAGTGCCACGCCAAAGGAGTGGGCCCGTGGGACCCTTCTCTAACGTGGCGTGGGGTCGCACTTGCCTCTTAGGATTCCATGCCGACTCTTTTGTCTCATTAAATTTCCTTTCTCAGGTCTCTCTTGTATCGCCCCTTAGAGACAGTCCATGTTTAATTGGAACATACCCTCCCCGTTTTATTTTTGTGGCAATATTTGTTTAGGTACGAATTTTAAAAATAAATGAATATTAACAGTTTAAACTTTTAATTCTAACATTTGTGATATTTATAATGTTACAAGTATTTTGAGGGTTAAATTGAAAAAAATTTCAAATATAAAAAGGTATCTTTATTTTTGTTACAGATAGAAGAAAAAAATGTTAAATATAATGGAACTAAAGAAATACTTGCTAAAGTTTATGGATTGAGTGCAGTAAGAAACCCTAGTTGAGAGGGAGAAGAGAGACGAAGAGAAGAGAAAGAAATGAATGAAACAGTAAACATTTTCATTATGCTCTAATGAGCCGTCACTACTAGAATTCCTGTAAAAAGCGACCAAAGATTAGCGACCAAATTTGGTCTGTCAAGAAAAGCGACCAAAGTTGGTCGCCAAACTGCCGAAAATAATAAAAAAAATATTTGAAATACTTTAGCGACCAAAGTTGGTCGCTATTTGGCCGCAAATTTAGTCAAGCTGTTGACTGGACTGGTCAGACTTGCTTGGTCAAAGATATACTGAGATTAGCGACCAATGTTGGTCGCTAAAGTGGGACCCACATAAAAATTTTTAATAATTTTTATTATTATTTTATAAAAACTTATAAAATATAATAATATAATTTAAAACTTTGCGACCAAAGTTGGTCGTAACTGAAGGATAAGTTGATAGCGACCAACATTGGTAGCTAACATGGGACCCAGTTTAATATTTTAATAAATATATATTTATTTAAAAAAATTATAAAATGTAAATAAATATAATTCAAAAATTTAGCAACCAAAGTTGGTCGCTTAATGAAATAGGAGACCAACGTTGGTCGCCAAGGTGGACCCAGTTCTAACATTTAACAATTTTTTATTAATTTAAATATTATATAAATAAAATAAATAATCTGATTAAAATTAGTGACTAAATTGGTCGCTAAATTAAATTCAGTGTACAGTTAGTGACCAACTTTGTCGCTAAATTAAATTCATTACAGTTAGCGACCAAAGTTGTTCTCTATATGGTCAAAATTAAAAATCACTTTTGTATTTACTATGTAAATAATATAAATGAAGTCGTTAATATTTTGTTATACAAGGGATGAATAGTACTACGAAGCGGGCGTTGTGTGTCTATATATATTAATATATTATATAATATATACTTACGCTATATTATGCACTAAGTAATAAGTGTATAGGTAATACCGTATCGAATATAGCTTATATATATATAATATATGTACTTACGCTATACTATGCACTAAGTATAAGTGTATTAGGTAATACTATATCTTATATAGCTTATATATATATATATATATATATATATATATATATATATATATATAATATAATATATATATATATATGCACTAAGTATAAGTGTATTAGGTAATACTATAAGAATATAGCTTATATATATATATATATATAATATATATACTTACGCTATAATATGCACGAGTATAAGTGTATTAGGTAATACTATATCGAATATAGCTTATGTATATATAATATATATACTTACACTATACTATGCACTAAGTATATGTGTATTAGCTAATACTATATCGAA